ATCCATGTTGATTCGAAAATGGCAAAACTATTATTTTTTTATAAAAAGTACATAAAATTAATTAGATCTCGTATCGAGGAATAGATTGCACTGAGAAAGAAATCCCTAGTTTCAATACTGAAGGGAAAGACAGGTTTGAAAAAACATTTAGTTTTGGCAATTTCGAGGTTTTAATGAAATTTGCATCCTGAAAATAAGATAATTATGTTCCTGAATTCTCAGAAAGATTCTCCACATTTGTGAATAACCAGAAGTGTTTGTGAATGTGAGAAACCAGTTTAATTCCTTCTCGTTGATGAGTAATAAACATGTGTATTATGAACATGGGGTAAATTTCTTAAAATCAGAACCTCTAACAAGAGAAGTCAAGTAGTCTGGTTATTCATGCAGTGTCAATGATTTGAGATCACTGATCAAAATCAAGTCGAGTTGTCTCCTTTTTCAGGCTAGAAGATTAGTTGAAATAATCACAGGAGAGAAATATTTAGTATAGTTGTCAGCTTAATCACGTAAATATTTTTGTTGAAGAGGTCATGACCAACCCAGAATATGATTAACATGCAAATGTTGCTTGAATACAAGCGGAGTCTTTATATGTGTGAATGTTTTAAACTTTTGACATAAAAGGACCAATGGTGAGAAGTTAGGAGGTGGGTGTATATTACAGCCCAGAGAAGGATGAGATTCCTGAGAGATCCAATTCTGCAAATTGATAAGACAGAAATGAAAATGCAGATCATGACAACCGAAAACAAAAATAACCTCCTGCGCGACATTACAAATCAGACACTTGGAGAGAATGTGCTTAAGAAAATATGCCATCAAAGGGTAAAAGTGTGAGGTCTTTTCAAACACGGGACTATAGGCAGCCATCTATCTCATTAATTGGACATTACTTTAAGCTACAAATCCATATGGACTTGCATGACTCATCGTGTTGGCACGAAAATACTTAAGTTGCTGAAGCTACCATGAACCAGTTGTGGCTGGTACCTCAACAAACTAAAGGTTGCAGATCCATTAAAATAACAGGAATGTAATTTCCAAAATTTAGAACACTAAAATAAATGTAATTCATGTAAATTAATTAAAACTATGTTGAATAAAAGTCTATATTGAAACTTCACTTTCATAATTTTATGTGTAGTGTCCATATCACTTATATTATCCTCACAGTTCTGGCTTATTCACCTCTTGTTTCTGGCTTTGTTATCCAATGGAAATTCCAGTTTTTGTATTAGTTGTGCGCTGAGCGAATTGACAGTAATAGAATTCAAAGAAAACAGAAAAGAACTTAGATTCAAAAATACAGTGATTCCACTCCAGCACTATGCAACAAGTATTAAAGTTTGGATACTTTTTCACATTTTCTTAATTTTGAAGAAAAATTTACTACCCTGGTTTATATTGCGATAATGAAAGATTTTTCATGCACACTCATATTCACAAGATGCATCCACTGTTAGAGACAGAAAGAGTCTTCCTTCCAGAACGGTCCACTTTAAAGAAAGGACTCATTAAATGTACATTTTGAATTTACAAACTTCACATAAAATTAAAATAAATTCTCCAAACATCGTAAACAACGCATCCAATATCGTCCATAACTGACTGACCTTATGTTTTTTCAAAAACAGGCAAAATTCAAAAAAATTAAGTTGCAGCTAGTGTCAGAAGAAAAAAGAAAATTGATATTCCCCTTGGTCACTGCAGCGCACTATATGCCTAGACGCTCGCCCCCATCCATGGGAAAAGGTTGGTCGCCGTACCCAAGGCCAAATGTTGAAACATAGGGTCAAAGATTAAATGCAGAAAAACTAGCAGTCAAGTAAATGCAGTAATAGAGCCAACTTTTGCCATTAATAGTTCCAGTTTTTCATGACTTTTCCAAAAAGCTGTCTATAGCAAACATTCAATGTATAGATCCAGATTTAGAGGATCCTGATGAACAATACATGATCAATCAGTCAAAAAATGTTATTCTTGTTAAACAGTAATTAAAAGGTTCTCATGTTCAGTTTTATACTTTCTTGCTTTTTTCTTATTGATGAAAGTACTTATGCCTTTAATTATTAATTATTTTTAACAGAAGATCGAACAAAACTTAAAAACTAAAGGAAACGTGTCATACTTCCAGTCCTCTTCTATGTTAATAACATTACCAAATTGTATTTTTGAATTTTTGCCTGAATAACTGAATACTTCTAATTAAAAGGTAAAAATGCTTCATTCTACATTTGAATACATAATCAATGAAAGAGCTGTAAAAACAAATATGATGTGTGTAGGTTTCATTTGAATATCATAAATCCCTGATTTACAGCATCAGTTGAAAGTTGTTTTTAGCTCTCCAGTAAAATTAGGTTTTCATGACTTATCAGCTCGTTCACAGGAGTCAAAGATTTATATGTGCATTTTGCTGTATTCAAGCTAATGGTTTAAGAAAAAAAATTGCAGCTTTTTTTAAGAATTTTTTAGGAGCTGACCTGAGGGTTCATGTAAAAAATTGTCATAATTAATGCCCATCAAGGGCTCAAGCAAGGGCAAAAAAAATTGATTTCTATAAAATTGGGGATTATAATATTATATTAATGATTTGGGTCACAGAAAAAGAAAATTGTTTGCAAATTTGAATCAGAATTGTGCAACTTCAGACTAAAGATAACGAAATTACTTTGCAACTAAAAATAGTGTGCCTTTGCAGTAGAATATAGTTAGTTGCAGGCCTGAATAATCAGAAAAAAATTCTGGTAGTTTCAGTTCAAAATAATATTGTCTAAAGAATCCTTTTATCAAAGGATACTATTATAGAAAGTATCAGGATACATTGTTCACCTATGTATGAAGGCATAATGTTCCCTCCAAAAATTATGCTATTATTATTTATGATTAATCATTTATTACAAACATTAAAAAATCAATACAGTACCCTGCAAAGCTTGCTGATGTTGATTGTAAAATCTTGGTGGTACATGTGCCATATTCATAAACATTCCAACAGGTACAGGCATGTTAGCAAGAGCAGCTTGAGCTCTTTCAGGAGATATATATGAGGCAGGATCATGAGTTCTACTATACAAATCCATAGCAACACTGTTAGCTGAAATAATTTACAAAATTATTAGGTTCTCATAAATATTAACTGGAAACAGAAGTAACACTGCGTTAATAATATATTCAATAAATATAAAGATACAAGTTTTAAGCAAAGGAAGAATTAAAGGGTTAAGACTGGTCAGAAAAAGGTAAAGAAATGTGAAAGAGGGAATATTAAAGATTTACAGAAGTGCTGACAAGATGCACTAGAAAAATTTTAATTATTTTGAGAACAATCATAAATCTATTCAATGGTACAATACATACATGGTCTTGGGAAGAATGGACTTGGATTATGAGTTCCATTCATATGACTGGTGCGATCATAGACACTTCCAGGAACAAGAGCTTCCCTTGCATCATAGACAGATGTGGACATAAAATGAGTACCGGGATTTGCTGTGTTCACTAACTTCTTGGGTTTAGCAAACTGAATCATCGATTCTTTCAAATTATTTAATGGTCCTTCAACCAATACTTTTTGTTCTTTGTAGAAGTTGAGTAAATGATTCCATAGTGGTTGCTGCAAGAATGAAACAAAAAGATATTTTACTCATTCTTTCATAGAATGTACAAAAATTCATTTTATAATCACATACCTTGGATAAAACTTTTGGATTGCCAACAATAATAATGCCATATTTAGCCCTGGTCAGAGCAACATTCAAACGCCTAGGATCGTTCAAGAAACCAATACCTTGGTGTTCATTTGACCGAACACAAGACATAATGATCAAGTCCTTCTCTCGACCTTGAAATGCATCAACACTAGCAACTTCAATTTCTTGATATAGTTTAGCGTGCAGTGATCCTTGGTACTGCATATACTGAACCTGTAAGAGACATAACATGAACTGGTATAATAGAATTCATAAAAATATATTATGGGGTAAAATAATCTTACATTATTACATACAATGAGAAAGTTTGACAAGAAAAAAAATTAATATAACAAAACAAATTTGCTTACAAGGTATGCTCTCTGGCCTTCGTATGGAGTAATAACACCTATCTGTTCTGGTTTCACCCCACATCTCAAAAATCTGGTAGTTATTTTTTCAACATTTGCAGCTTCAGTTCGGTTCAAATATGAAGTTCCTGATCCTGCAATTTCCTCTTGTCCTTGAGTGACATAGAAGAACATTGGTTTGTCGGGTTGAGGCCACGGAAATTCAATCTTTGTCAACTTTCGTTCATCTGAAACAATAAATTGTTAATGTTTCATGGATCTTGAACAACAATGCTTAATTTAATTGTAATATTGTAGAACCTTTGTTTGGTTACTGAAATAACTAATGTTTCAAGAAAAGACTTATCCCAGCT